ATTAATATACAGATAGATAGGTCTAGAACAGTCAAGTTTTAAACGCCTATAGCCGTGTCATTCAGTGTGATATCACCATCCATGGATCAGAAAATCCATTACAGTTGGTATCACAGCCAAACTTCACAAGGATTTATTATACTCCGAAGTTAATTATTGTGCTGTTTAAGAGCACAGCTCCCTTAATGCCCACAGGATAGACTAGTAAAACTAATTAAACTTAAAGTAGTGCTTTTTTTGTGTCAATTTAACCTAAAGTCACAAACACAATAAATATTTGGAAAGAAAATTGCACTATGTTTAATCTTTAAAATTTTCCCGTTTAATAACTAAAGTTGCATTGTAGTTAATTATATTTTCTTGCTCTGTATAGAAACATCGTTATTTATTCAAACTGTGCATAATAAATGAAGCTAGAAAAGTGTTTTGGATGTAAAAAACTAAAATGTTGTGAATTCAATAAGATATCACTAAATTAACATTTCGGTCCCTTTTTTTCTTCAGGGACAAAAGCAAGTGAATGTTTATCTTCCCAAGGAGACTTGGTATCTGTATGAGGTAGGCAACTGATTTGTTTTATATTGTAAGTTTTATTTTCTTTCGATACAAACCACTTATGCTTCACGATTTTCACAATCTTAAATATATATATATATTTTGTTCTGAGAATAAATAACAGGTAAATAAGGACTCAGATTGCCTGTTGAACGTATCGCTTTATGCAGTTGGTGTCTTCACGTAACTCTATTTTAACAACTTGGATCTCTGAGATCTTATGAGTGAAATCAAAGAAGAATGTGAAATAAATATGTCAACCATACTGCGTCTTTCGACTAATACCAGGGCTCATCAAAATATGTCAACCATACTGCGTCTTTCGACCAATTCCGGGGCTCATCAGGCCGGCTGTGGTACAACAGAAAGTAACAGTGATATTTATATCATCAACTTTCATGAACAACAACTGTTATGATGTGAACTATTGTTTGTTTGTAATTAAGCACAAAGCTGCCCAAGGGCTATCTGTGCTCTGCCCACCACGGATATCGAAACCCGGTTTCTAGCGTTGTAAGTCCGCAGACAACCCGCTGTGCCACTGGGAGGTGAGTAAAAAGAAAAGACCGTAATGGGTATTTTTTTTTTTCGTCATTTTGTTTTTTCATGGATGTTGCAAATTTGTGTAATTCTGTCTTAACATTAAACGTATAATGAAACGTTTCTGTTCGTCTTTGCCCCCCCCCCCGTAGTGGCACAGCGGTATGTCTGCGGACTTACAACGCTAGAACCCGGGTTTCGATCCCAGTGGTGGGCAGAGCACAGATAGCCCTTTGTGTAGGTTTGTGCTTAATAATAAGCATCAACATCGTTACGTTCGTGCTTAAATACTGAGACCGTCGTTTCATTCTCAAGCATTTGAAGTCGATGTGTATTATATGTCTCAAAGTTGTCTCACCTTTTTAAATGTGTATGTTATTTCTCTCCGTATTTTTCACAGACTTTAATGTTCTATTTTACCCTTTTTAAATTTGTATGTTGTTTCTCTCGGTATTTTTCACATACTTTAATGTTCTATTTTACCCTTTTTTAAATTTGTATGTTGTTTCTCTCCGTCTTTTTCACATACTTTAATGTTCTATTTCCCCCTTTTTTAAATTTGTATGTTGTTTCTCTCTGTCTTTTTCACATACTTTAATGTTTTATTTTACCTTTTTTAAATTTGTATGTTGTTTCTCTCCGTCTTTTTCACATACTTTAATGTTCTATTTTACCCTTTTTAAATTTGTATGTTGTTTCTCTCCGTCTTTTTCACATACTTTAATGTTCTATTTTACCCTTTTTAAATGTGTATGTTGTTTCTCTCCGTATTTTTCACATACTTTAATCTTCTATTTTATTTTTGTAAACAGGGTAAAAAAGTTTGGAAAAGTGGAAGCGTTCTTACCATCGAAAATCTCGAGTCACCTATACTTTTTGTCAGAAGTGGCTTTATCATCCCAACTCAGGATCATGCTAATAACACTAAGAACAGGTAATTTAGCTCTAGAGATGAACACTCGCAATCTGTGGGTCGCGGGCTCGAATGCCCCTCACACCGAACATGCTCGCCATTTCAGCCTTGGGGGCGTTATAATGTGACGGTGAATCCCACTATTAGTTGGTAAAAGAGTAGCCCAAGAGTTGGCGGTGGGTGGTGATGACTAGCTGCCTTCCCTCTAGTCTTACACTGCTAAATTAGGGACGGCTAGCGCAGATAGCCCTCGTGTAGCTTTGCGCGAAATCCATAACAAACAAACAACCCGCTGTCCCAGACCTTTAGTTCAGTGAAATCTTCGACTTTTATTGGTTACAAATAATACAATAACAAACGTCAGATAGAATTTATGACAAGTTTTGAAAGCAGAATGCTCAGTGCAAGACATGGCGTTTGACAAGTACTTTATTTCCGATATCTCCAAAAAAACAAAAGCTTTATTGATAGTTTAGCTAGAGTATATGTATATAATAAAAAAAGTTTTCTCGGTGGCTAATTGATAGTTTAGCTAGAGTATATGTATATTATAAAAAAAGTTTTATCGGTGGCTAATTATCGCTAACAATTGATAGTTTAGCTAGAATATATGTATATTATAAAAAAAGCTTTATCGGTGGCAAATTATTGCTAAAAATTTATAGTTTAGCTAGAGTATATGTATAATATAAAAAAAAAGTTTTATCAGTGGCAAATTATCGCTAAAAATTGATAGTTTAGCTAGAGTATATGTATAATATAAAAAAAAAAGCTTTATCAGTGGCAAATTATCGCTAAAAATTGATAGTTTAGCTAGAGTATATGTATAATATAAAAAAAAAGCTTTATCGGTAGCAAATTATCGCTAAAAATTGATAGTTTAGCTAGAGTATATTCGTAATATAAGTGCGAAATTCCACGGAAAGTTACAATGTCTTAGCGGGTGTCAGAAAATGTTGAAATAAATAGTTTGGACTGAAGAAGTGTCGTGCGGTGAAGTTTAGCATTTATTATATATACTTTTAAAAATACGAAATCGAAACTTTTGTTTTATTTAAATATTACCAGTAAATCATGTTTTAATGCCAAGTTTATTGATATACGTTGATAACAATTAATTTTTGAATGTAACTGTAAAGTATAAGAACAAGTCACTTACTGCTGGCAGGTAAACTGTCACTTTACACAGTAATATTCCAATGTATTGCAGATGTTGTACTTGTGCTCGATATATTTCTCTAGAGATCATATATTAAACTCAGTTTTGATTTTTTTCGTATAGTTATCATTATTAATCAAAGCTAATTGACTAAATATTCTTTTTATTTAGCCGTCAGAATGTATTTGCATTACGTGTTTATCCACAAGATGGGCAAGCGAAAGGCGACCTCTACTGGGACAATGGAGAAGCTATAGGTGAGCTAAGAAGGAAGCATAGTACAAAGGAAATAAATCTAGAATATATCCACTGCAAATTTGTTTATTATCCACTGCACTACAGCTAAACATTAGTGGTCAAACACTAAATGATAAATTGTACGTTTTTTGGGTACCGATATAATTTATAGGAAATATATATATACACCTGGAAAAAAGTTAAGCACCCCCGTGTTTTTTTCAAGTGATTCAGATTCGACGTTCTTGTGACTGATTATAAATTACCATTCAATCTAAACGTATTTATCAAATGAAATTATG